TAAAAATGAAAAAAAAAAAATAAAAAAATAAAAAATAAAAAGTGAAAACAAAACATGGTTTGAATCTAAATGTAAATTTATAGAGGAATAGCTAGACATTAAAAAAATATGAAAATTAAAAGAGCACATTTAATGGAACCTAGAGATGGTGACCTTGGTGATATCCTATAGCAAATAAAAAACAAAAATCCTGAAGCTATTAAAATATAAGGACAAAATTGAAATACTCAAAAAATAGTACAAACTCAAAGGTAAAAATTTGAAGATTTTTGTGGCTATTGAAATGAGGAAGAGCTAAAGAGAAAAAAAAAGAGTTTCAAAAGTTCTTGTTGATATCCTACAACAAACTAGTTATTGGTGATAGGGCTATGAAAAAACAAAATACGAACTCCAATAACACTTTATAAGTGTTAATTTTATTTATCTCATTTTTTATTTATTTTAATTTGAAATTTTAAAATGGACAATAATTTAGAAATTAAATTTTGTGTTTGTCTTTGTGATAATGACACTTTTGCTAATTATTTAGAAATCCTAGAGAGCAAATACTATTTCTGATTCCAAGCTTTATTTTCATCAAAATAAAAATACAAATTCAATTTTAAGTATTTTTATTCTAAGTTTAACAACATTTAAAAATTTTTAAACTTTTAAAGATTTGTTTTTAAGAGAGCTGGTGTAAAAATGATGGATTTACAATTTGAATTAACAAGTTAGTTATAAGTTATCAACCATGATGCTTCTGGTAAAGGTGTTTATATTTTTATTCATTCCAGTTCCATTAATGTTATAGCACAAAATGACCTCAGTATTAAAAAAAAAGATTGTTTATTACGCATTGAAATTATAACCAAAAGTTCTAAATATATCATTGTTATTAACAAATTGTGGTAATGCTATTTAAAGAGAGCCAGTTATTTGAAAAATAATTGAAACTTGTTTACGCACTTTTTTAACCAAAGTTAATAAAACAGAAAAGCTATTTTAATATTTTAAACATGTTTATTTTGTGAGCAATAGCAATGCGGTAGTGGTGTAGTGGTAGAGCGCTCGCTTCATAAACGAGTGGTTCCGAGTTCGATCCCCACCACGTCCCTAGTAGTACCGCGCTCAACTCGTTTCTCCATGCAGCAACCTTGTTCGTCAAGGTTCGTGTTTCGGAGTTATAGAGTTGAGAGAGGGTTATAGCCACAAAATAAGTAGCCTCCTTTTTTGTAGTGGCCTTCTCGGCCTTGAGGAGGTGAAGTAAAATTAAAAAAAAAAAAAAAATAGTAATCTTTTGAATCGTGTGTAAAAAGTATTTAACAAATACAATGTGACAGAATGATGTATGTGTATGATGATCATATTGATCATAATGATGTTTATATATACATATATATACATGAATTTTGAATAAAAAAAATACTTTAAGATTTATAAATGTTTATGCAGCCCCAGTCACAAACCCAGCCCCGGCTATATTTAATCAAACCCAGCCCTAGCCCCAGTCAAGTATCAACCCCAGTCACTTACTATGTATATAAAGGTTTTTCTCTAAATATGTATTTTATAAATTTAAAGTCACTTCTATTACACAGTATAACAAAATTTACTCTGGTTTAAAAATTACTTGTCGAACAGAAAACAATACTGTAAATACTACAACCTATTTATATATGATATAATGTGGAGTTATAGGACCTTTACTTTTCTTACTATACATAAATGATTTATCTTTACCAGGAAACCTGTTCAATTTTATTTTATTTGCAGATGATTTCAATCATTTTTATTCTCTTAAAAATATGGAAACACTTTTTAAAGTAAACGAAGAATTAAATAAATTAAATAAATGGTTTATATGCAACAAACTGTCTTTAAACGTTCAATAAGCTAAACTTTACCTTTTGCTCAAGCTAACCAAAACAAAAGAAATATCTCTTATCCTATCTAATTACCTGATTAATAAAATTAACATTAAAAGGCAAACACTGTGCTCATCAATAAAATAAGATATCTTCTTCTTGCTCTGGCCATTAACTTTATTGTAATATTTATGTGCATTATAATATTTATTAAACAGCAAAATATTCAGTTTTAAAAAACATGTAAAAAATCTATTCTAGTATTTTAATTAATTTTGAAAATGATAGAGTTGTATTTTTATTTAAAATTATGCTCAAATAAATATTCTAAATAATGGTCTACGTAGTGAAACTAATTTGTCAGTAAATTAGTTTATGCAATGTATATAAGCTTTGTGTACTGGAAGTAAAAGCAAATGAAATTTTAAAAATCAGTTTCTGTTAAATATATTATTGTAATTTTCAATTATTTTAGCTGTTAAAATTAATTATTGTAATTTTTAACATTTTAGCTGATAAAATTCCTTGAAAAAAGAGTGTTAAAAACATTAAAAACAGTTTAGAAAAAACAGCTTTTTGCTGATTTTTGATTTTAGTAAAAATACAGCTGTTTTACTGATACTGTTAACCAATTTTGAAAAACACTAATTTTCATTAGGTTTGTTGGTTAGATGTAATTATTGTTTTTTTCCTGTGCAAAATTCAATCAGTCCATTGTTAAAAAATAGTTATCTGAATTTATTTTGTTAAAAAAATTATTATTTTTTGAATATCTTCACTTCCAACAAGGCTGCAAGCAACCACTATTAGAGTTGGAAGTTACTGGAAGAATAAAGGTAAAGTTTATAAACTAAGATAGCGATTAACAGGCTAAAAGATTGTAAATTATACAAAAAGATTGTAAATTATCAGAAAAACAAGATGAAGGGAGGGAATTCCAATGAACTTATGTTTGAGGGAAAAAACTAGACAAATAAGAATTTTTGGAACACTTAAGAACAGTCCTAGTATAAAGATGAGACTTAATTAAATGATGAGTAAAACAAGGATGAATTTTAGTAGATGGTACAAGAGATGCTAGCTCTTTAGAGTAATGCCCATTATAGTAATGAAAAAGAAAGCGCCCATTTATAGAAAAGAGAAAGAGAAACAACATTAAAATAATGTGACAATGGTTGAAGGGTGCCTGCAAGAGCCTGCTCTTGCAGGCACCCTATGCCTGGCATGGATAATAAATATAAATATAAATGGATAGTTAAAAAAAATAAAATGGATAATAATAAATATAAATGGATAGTTAAAAAAAATTAAATCTGAATAAAGTAATTGAAGAATTTCAGAGATAATTTACAAAATGTAATTGAAAGAAAAGATTATGTAAACAATTTCATAGATAATTTACAAAATGTAATTGAAAGAAAAGATTGTGTAAGCGATTTCAGAAATAATTTACAAAATGTAATTGAAAGAAAAGATTGTGTAAACAATTTCAGAGATAATTTACAAAATGTATTTGAAAGAAAGTATTGTGTAAACAATATTAGAGATAATTTACAAAATAAAATTGAAAAAAAAGATTGTGTAATTGATACAATTGAAAAAAATGATTGTGATACAATTAAAAAAAAAGAACATTTCATCAGTTCATCAATCATTAACACTATTAGTTCCTCAGAAGCAGATTTTCTTAAATGAATAAAATTTGTCTGAAAATAGTTTAATTTTTTCAGTTTAATGACTGTTAATATGATTAGACTGCCACTTAAAAAATGAAATGAAAAAAATCTGTTAAAAACTTTGTTGAGGAGTCATAACTCAACTGATGTTTCTAGAATTCTAGAAACCAAAAAAAAAAATTAAAGTTTATTAAATTTTTTAGAAACAATCATAACATTGCAAATAAATTTTTTCTTTCAAAAATATCAATAAAAATTAATAATGACAATAAAAATTTATTGATTAGTTTATAGAGAACCAAATGTTAAATTTTTGTCAAATCACCACTGAGCATAGGATGCATCAATTAAAAGTGTGTGATATTAAGTCTTTTGCACCGAAACGAGCCGTTAACGACCCTGTAGTTATAAATCAATAAATAAAGGGTTTTTCTAGCAGAGTCATTAATCAAAACTACTTGATTTTATGCTTTAAATGATAACTTTATGTTTGGTTTCAAAACTAGCCATAATAAACTAACTTTTAAAGCTCCGTAATCGAAATAAGGGGTCCATAAATTATGCCACGCTTTAGGGATAAGGAGGGGGGAGTTAATCTTTTTGTGACAACTCATACAGATCTTGTTACTTAAGTTTTAAGATGTTGTAACGAGGAGTGGGGAGGAGTCTCAAATGGTCAAAAATTCAGTGACCTAATTTGTGAATGACCCCTAAGTTGACAGTTTTTTTAGAGTGTTTGATTTTGATTAAATTTTTTTTTTTTTTGCAAAAGTCACGTGATAATGTCTGCTATTACTGATATATTAGTTATTTGTTTTAAAGATATATAATGTTGAGTTTATCTTTTAAAAAATATTGTTTTGGAGTGCAAATTTGATGCTTTTTATACTATACAATTGATTTTTGTGGTATTATGTTAAATTTTTGTGGTCCTGGCTAATTTGTTGATAACTTTTGTTATCTTAAAGATTATTAAGTGCTTAAGCACTCTATTTTTATACATTTTTTCTTACAGAATGCACCACTGGTAGTTTTAAGTCTTGATTAGTATTTTATTAACTTTTTCTAAAAAATAAAGTCAGACTTTTTTTTTTGTAAAAAAAATAAATTCGCAAAAGTCAGGTGATCTTTGTATCCGCTATCATTGGTATTTCATTTTTAAAAAAAAAGAGTCAATCTCTATTAATTTATCATTTTGAAAATGTACAGTTATGGGATGTAAATATGATGCCTTTTATCCCTAATATATCATTTTCAGTATAGTATGTATATTTTTACTGTTCACAAATATTATATATAGGTGCGAAAGAGTTAATAATAATTAACCTTCTTAATTTGCTTTTTTTTTTTCTTAATTTACTTTTTTTTTTTTACTTTTTACAATATACTTAAATTTACAATTTATAATTTACTTAGATTTTCATTTATTTTTCAAAAAAAAATTAACTTAACTTTGCTTAAATTTAATTAAATTTAGAAGTTAAAGAGGAGTTTTTACAAAAAGAACCTGAAGAGACTGATAAACAAAATCTGCTGCTTAAGAAACAAAAGGTGATTCTTATAAAGCTAACAGAGAACTTTAAAACAATTAACAGTGTTAAATGTTGTAAATCCAAATACATTTATGAGTTTTATCTGAGTGCAAATCAGCATAAGCACAAAATGGCATTAATGCATGAAACTCTTTTACAATTTGATATTTGTAGGAACCTGCATATGTGTGAATTTTTATATATGCAAGCAGGTTGAAGGTATTTACTTTTATCCAATATGCACAGTTCGCACTTTTTCAATATTTGTACAATTGTTCAGGGAAGTTATTCCAGTTTGTGCATATGCATATTTGCTCTTTGGCAAGTTTGCATACTTAGTTTGTACTTGTGCCAATGTTAAAAACTACTTTTAATTTGTCAGGGACTATTATAGGAAAATAATTTGGGTGGAGGTACCCCCATTCTGGCGCATAAGAAAAAAACAAAAAAAAGGTCAAATACATTCAAATATGTCCAAATATGCTGCCAATGTCAGTGCTGTCAAAAAGGGTCTAGAATAGCCCATGTTAGTATACCTAATTTAACACTATTATGTCAGTTCTGCCAACATTTTTGAACTATATTATGTTAATAATTTTAAATAAAAATTTAAGTAAATTTTTAATATGAGTTTTAGGTTTTAGAAGATACAATTTTACATTATGAAAGTAATTTAATGAATGATGAAGTTAAAAGAAGAATTAAAACAATAAAAAAAACCTATGAATGTCAGTTAGAAGATAAACGGAAGTTAATTAGAGAACTTCAACACTTAGTAAATGTACTGGAAACTGATATGAAAGAAATCATAAATAAAAAGGAAAGTACAGAAGTGGTTTTTAACATTTCTGATCTTGTAAAAAGATTTTCAATGGAAGTAAATGATCTTAGTATAAGCAAATCAAAATTAATAGCTACTGTTTCTAATCTGGAAAACAAGGTAGAAATGCAGAAGAAAGAAATTGACGACTTAAACAATATTATTCGGAATGAGTATGTTGCCAAGGAAGATTATGAATTTCTTCAATCAGAAAAATATTTGTTTTTTCAAAACTTGGAGTCATATAAAAAGGTAAAATATTTATTATAGTAAAATTAAAGAGCATCAGGAATGTTTTATAAATTTTTTGATTTTTCTTTAGATTGCAGGGGATAGCCTAATTCAAGTAAATAATATAAAAAAACAAATGAAAGAGTTGCAAGAACAATTTGTTAATAAAGAACAAGAATATTCTGTTCAGATGCTATCTTTAAAAAATGAAAACCGTTTATTGAAAAAAAAGTTTCATGAAGTTGAAGAAAAGTATATGCTAATGGCATTTACACCTGCTAAAGTAATTTTTTTTTTTCAATATCTATGATATTTTATTTTTACAATTGAAACATATCTTATATAAGTAACTATTGATATTTTACAATTAATTAATGAATCCTTGCTATATTTTATGTACATATATATATATATATATATATATATATATATATATATATATATATATATATATATATATATATATATATATATATATATATATATATATATATATATATATATATATATATATATTGAGCTATATTTGAGAGGCTGATTTGACCACCACAAAGTTGTTTCAATTTATCTTTTATTTGTGAAAGATTAATAAAAAATTTATTTCATGGTCTTTGTAATTGTCATCTATTTAATGTTATCAAGTTTCACCAGACTTATACCTTCTTTTGTTCTTTATTAATCTACTTCTAAAGAATCTTTTTGATTTTAATTAAAATCAAATTTATCGAGTTCATTCCATTTATCTTTCAAACATTATTGTTGTTTTTGGTGACTAGTCACATTGAATGGCTTGAATCTAGTACCACTAACCCTGCTGGCACTAAAGCTAATTATGTGTTTCTCAAACTTGTTCTCAGATAGTTAACTTTGTGAGTTGTTTTCAGTAGCTGATATATATATATATATATATATATATATATATATATATATATATATATATATATATATATATATATATATATATATCATAGTCTATAGAAATATACCCTGGTCTGGAAGCTTTTGTTTTATTTTTTTTCGGTCACGTGATCAATGTAGTTGCAAAACAAATCAGCCGTTGAAGTGAATTTTAAAAGATATATCAAAGAATCTTTAATTATAATTTATTTATAATTTATTTAAACAGTCCTTTGTAGAACTACATATAACTAAAATATTTAAGGCAATTCCAGTTAGTGAATGTTAAAAGACATTTCAAGGAATTTTCACTTAATTTTAATTAAACAGTACTTTTTAGAACTACATTAGAACTAAAGTAATCGTACTTGTAAAAAAAAAGCAATGCCAGGTAGAAATTGCTGTCTTCCACAGAGCACAGTTTCTGATGCAAATAAACACAAGGAAAAGATAATTATCATACCATTTGGAGGAAAATGTAATAATCTATTAGATGGATTATTAAAAGAAAGAATAACCAAAGGAAATGTTTATTTTTATTACTCATGTAATATTTAATATTATTTTACATAAGTAATATATAATGGTATTGCATTGCAATTATAATGATCATTATAGTTAAAATGTCTATCATTTTAGAAATGGAGTGCAAAGTCCTATGGCTTACCTTTTCGTTGGTGCACTTCGTTAAATAATTTAGACAAGTCTTATGTCTAATTTATAAACCAAATAGCCAAGGCAACTTTTGTATTAATTTTGGTATATATATATACCAAAATTTACTAATTATTTTTAACTCAATGGTGTAAATGACAATTAGTCATTTACACCATTGAGTTAAAATTACTTGTGTAAAAAAACTTACCTGTACTGTTATCTCTTTTTAGACACTGAAAGAAAAACATTAAGACTTGGTGTTGTGCCTACCTTAAATTTACCTGTTAAATCACAATCCAACTACTAAACCATCTGAAAGAAAGCACTTAAATATAGTTAAAGATATAACAACTATAAATAAAAATGCCAACAAGCCTGTATACAATACTTATGAAAAATTTAAAATCCGTATTCGAAACTTAAAGTTGAGTGAATGAGAAATTAGTATTTTTAATGATGTAGTTCTGTTTAAGCACATAGAAAATATGTTTTTATTATCAAAGTTTGATGTGTTTGTTGACACAAGTTTAGATTATTTATGCATTGTTTTTGGTTGGTCTTTACCAATCTGCACTGAACAATATAAATTACATTCAAGATCTCTAAAAAATATTTCTTTGCTTCTGCAAGAACTTTTGTCTTATAATATATGTGATGGTTTTATAAACATAAATTTTCCTGATTTGCTGTTACATGCAGTGTTATGTATATAAATTTTATCCGATAGTGAAAAAGAAAAAATGTTTATATCATCATAAATCGTTTGAAGGTTTGAAGATCGCCTCCAAATCAGTTATTGAAGCCACACAGTTTTTATTAACTGCTGGTATGTTTTAACATTTGTTTTAACAGATAAGTTTAACCAAGATGTTGTTGAAGAATATTTTGGACGACACCGAAGTATGGGTCACAGAAACAAAAATCCAAACGTTTATCAATTTGGTTATCAGTCTAATGCTATTAGAATGCAAAGGTCAGTTGTTCCTGTAATACAATATACAAAATCAAAAGTAGTATATATATAATATATATAATATACAAAATCAGTAGTAGTATATATAATATATACAATATATAATATCAATAGTAGTATATATATAATATACAATATCAATAGTAGTATATATATAATATATACAATATCAATATATATATATATATATATATATATATATATATATATATATATATATATATATATATATATATATATATATATATATATATATATGTGTGTGGTAGTGGTGTAGTGGTAGAGCGCTCGCTTCATAAACAAGTAGTTCGGAGTTCGATCCCCACCATGTTCCTGGTAGTACCGCGCTTAACTCGTTTCTCCGCGCAGCGGCCTTGTTCATCAAGGTTCGTGTTTCGGAGTTATAGAGTTGAGAGAGGGTTATAACCACAAATAAGTAGCCTCCTCGTCTGTAGTGGCCTTCTTGGCCTTAAGGAGGTGAATTAAATTAATATGTATATATATATATATATATATATATATATATATATATATATATATATATATATATATATATATATATATATATATATATATATATATATATAGATAGATAGATACATGGGCGCCGCCTTTTTTTTTAATGTTTCGGATAGGACACTTTCACACATTGTGCAAAGTCTAAACTTAAAAAAAAGTTTATACCTATGGCAACTGAGAAGGCCTTGCAAAAATTTGGGATGGCAGAGTCCTGAGATCAAAAAAGCCTTAAAGTACTTGTCCCCCCCTCCTGCTCAAATGTTAAGGCACTGATGTAGTCTTAAACTTAATTTTAATTTATCAACATATTTTAAATTTTGTAAAAAAATATTGAAAATTCACAGTACACTCTCCTAGAAAAAACTAAAAAATCTAGAAAGGACTGTTTTTAAAAAACATGCTAAAGAAATTGGAAAAAGTAATTTTTGTGCATTATTGATTCAATTTGGAAAATAGACTTACCAGTTATAATATTGTGTGATTAAATTATTTTATTATATACAACTGATTTATAATTTTAGATTTTAAATATATAGTATTTTTTTAACTATACTTTTACATACATATTTACCAAAAATTAAAAACAACCACTCATTTTGAAAGAAATATTATTTCATTAATTTCTGTGTCATAAAATAATTTAATTACATATTTATAACTACATTTATATTATGAATAAATACTGCATATTTTTATTAACAGCTGATAATCCTCCTCTGTTTTGCACATCAATTAACTGTTGTTTTATATTATTGGTTAGCATACTTTATAGTAACAAGATAAGAGATTTGTAATTGGGTTAAGTTGAATGGGTTCTTTATTACCAAATTCTTTTACTTTTTTTGAATGTGATATTATTTTATCCACATATTTGGTTGCAAAAAGAGTGCAACAAGGCTTTTGCAATTCAGAAAAATGGAATTCTGCACCAAGAACAAAGTCTGCATATATTTTAGAATAATATCTTTCTACATCACCAGACTTGCAAAGTTCTAGAAAATACTTTTTACTTTCAGCATAACACTGATCAGTTACAACTAAGTTATAACTTTTAATAGATTCCGTTAAGTCATTTGGGATAATAGGATGTATTTAATATATTTTTTTTAGCATGTGCAATAATGAATCAATATCTTTAATGCTGATACAAGAAATTTCATCTTCATTGTTCATATGTTTTGATCGTATATGTCTTTTGAGACCTCCTTTAGTTTTTTATGACTTTGAACATTGAAGAAAAAGTTGATTAATTTGGTCAGAAATCTAAAGAAAAGTAACATAATACTCATCACATAAGAAAGTAAATTAACATAAGTAATTTTGACACACTTGGTTAGTTTAAAACTGTAAAAATACAAGATTTAAATTAATTTTTGTTATATGATTTTTACTTCTGAGCCTGTGTCTTCAATTTCAATTTCTTCATCAAAATCATCGTTATTTAAGAAATCAACTAAGATTTCTACTGTATTTTGTTGAGAGTAGCTTAAAGCGTTAGCCATTTAAATCTTTGTTTTGCAACTACATTGATCACGTGACTTTTTTAAAAAAACTCGGAAAACAAAAGAATAAAACAATAGCTTCCAGACCAGGGTATGTTTCTATAGACTATGTATATATATATATATATATATATATATATATATATATATATATATATATATATATATATATATATATATATATATATATATATATATATACATATATATAATTTTAGGAAACCATTGTCTCCCTATATCAAGTCCTGAACACATGTTTTTCCAAATCTAGCCATTGTGCCTGAAACTCCTATTGAATAAAAAGTTTTTTGCAGCAACACAAACCAATACAATTGGATCTAATCTTCAGTAAAATAGTAAATCTGTGATTAAGTCCAAATGAGGTTTAAAGTCCTACCAAAGTGATAGATTTAGTTTCACCTTTTGATTCGAACTGTTGTTGATGAAGAAACTAAACAAAAAGTTTTAGAAATATCCATTTACCACAAGTGATAAATTTAATTTCACCTTTAGATTCGAACTATTGTTGATGAGAAAACTGAACAAAAAATAATAAAAATTTCCATTTAACCACAAGTAACACATTTAATTTCATCTTTAGATTCGAACTGTTGTTGATGAAGAAACAGAACAAAAAATTATAAAAATGAGATCAGAAAAGTTACGATTAGAAGAAGAAAAACATAATTTAAAAAAGTTGCATAGAAGAGAGGTGTGTTATAAACAAGTTTTTTAGATTATATAGATGCATGTAAATGTATAAAAAATTATTGCTTTTTTTCTGATAATGAATTTTTTTTTTAATATATATACTTATATTTTCTAAATATATATAGATATAGATAAATACTAGTTTGCTCATAGTATTTTTATATTTTACTGCTTTCTTTCTCTATTTTGTTTAAATTATTTTTTTTTCCTTAGTTAACACTTCTAACTACTGAATTAGAAATATTAAACGTAAAGAATGTTAAACTAGAGACAGAGGTTTTTAATTTTATTTTTGGTTTTGGTGCATTAAATTTATAATAATTTTTCTTTATTTTTTAAAATTGCTTTGTTTTTTATCTTTAATTATCATCAACTATAAAAATAATCTCAAGCCATAAAAATCATTAAAAAAGTCATAATTCGAGTCTATCATGTAGTGATAGAAAATATTTAATATTCTTTGACATTCTACAGAATCCCATCTCTTATATTTAAATTTTTGTAAATTTTTAGTTAGGTTCAGACTATTTTTCAATTTTGCAAAAATAAATTTAGAAATATCTACTCTATAGTAACTTTATCACATGCTCCATTTTTTAAAAAACTTTATTATCAAATTCATCATCATCATCATCATCATCATCATCATCATCATCATCATCATCATCATCATCATCATCATCATCATCATCATCATCATCATCATCATCATCATCATCATCATCATCACATCATCATCATCATCATCATCATCATCATCATCATCATCATCATCATCATCATCATCATCATCATCATCATCATCATCATCATCATCGTCATCACCATCATCATCATATCCTCATCATCCTCATCCTCATCATCATCATCATCCTCATCCTCATCCTCATTATCATCATCATCATCAACATCATCATCATCATCATCATCATTGTGGCGTTTTTAAGTTTCTTAGTATATAAAGTTTACTAATATATTATTTAAGTAAACTTTATATAATATATTAGTTAACAAATCTCGTACTTGGGTTTTCAAAAAAAAAAAAAGTTTAATAAATTTTCTATACATTTTTAAAAAATTTATTTTTGCTGAATGTAATATTTACTAAATCGAATGTCTAAAAAATATAAACTTTGCTTTTAAACAAAAAAGATTTTTTGGAAATTTGGTTTTAACTGTAAGGTGTTGCATTACGGAAACTACACAGGTGGCAATACCAAACTTTTTGGTTTTTGCTTATAAATGAATTTGAAAGCTCTATTTTGCAATGATTTTTAAGTTATTATTTTAAGATAAAACTTATTTACTCTTTTTTATCCAAAAAATAAAACTGATGGAAATAATAATTGTAAAATCAAATGAAAATTATTCAAAGTCTCAGAGGCGCGTTACTTTCAGGGTAAAGAAACGGACAATCAATTAAAACAGGGGAAATTTTTTATACAGGATATAAAACTATATTGAACGTTTATGAAAATAAATTTTAAATAAATAAAGCTTTTAATACAACGTTTATAGTTAACAAATGAGCTCATTTTGAATACACAAATAACAGTATTTTTGATTATTTTAGAATAAAAACTTTACAACAATCCTCTGACATCTTGTTTTGATATCTTTGAGAGTTTCTCACTGTTTTTCCTCTGTAAAAAAGCTCATTGGTTACATAGTGGGCCATTCGTGGAAGCCGCCATATTGGCTAGCCAACAACTAGCTTTTATATTACATGTTGAAGAGTTATTGGCTAGCCACTTTTTGAAAAATTCCAATAAACCGCTCAAAATGCTTATATAGGTTCACTGCAAATCCACTATAAAATAATTGCTGGGTTATTATAATCATAGTTGGGTATCATTTTCACAGATTTGTATAAAAACACAGTTATTCATAGTTTTTAAAAGTTCAAAAGTGTTTCATTAATTAATTTCATAGTCTTCACAATAGAGACTGACATTATTCTATTTAGTAAAGTAGTTATTAATATAGAAATAGAAATTTAAGTTTTGATCACTGTTTTATTATTTTTTATAAAAAAATTATAAATTTACAAAAAATCATGATTAATATCATTAAGTACGTATCTTATTTAAGTTAATTGATTATAAGTTTGAGAGCTAAAGTTTTTGCATTGATTTTTTAAATGCAAAGGAAAATTACCATTTTAATGTGGTCTTTTAGACGACACCCTCTAACACAAGTTTTTGAAAACTTTACTTTTCACCAATTTTATTGATTTTAACTAAATTTTAAAAATTCCTGATAACATTTTTTTATTGCAAAATTTTTACAAATTGTACAGAAGAGAGTGGACACTTGATTTTGTAAGGTACAAACTTACAAAGGAACAAGCACACCACTACATGAAAAAAGAAAGTTAACTAAATCTTTAATCAATTCTATGCAGAACTTCGATAGCCTAGCAATAAAAAACAATCTTAACAATTTGTTGCTAAGAAAAAAGCTACGAAAAAAGCTGTTTAGGCGGTTTTGTTCATTGTACAGATTTTAATGAAAAGGATTGTTGACACCGTATGTGCCCAAGAGACAACGAGACTGTGGTGCAAATATCATTTAGACATGGTGAAAATGTAGAGCAAGTAAATATTTCTGTTTCAGTCTTCAACATTTTGAATTCAACTTTTACTGATTTATCTTCAGATGATTTACTAAAAGGCCAACAAGACACTCAACCAGATTATTTAGAGACGCTGCCCAAAATATATTTTTGTGGGTAGAGGGGTCTTAGAGCATGCAGTTAATTCATCTGTTATTGAATTTAATGAAGGTCCTAATGGAATCCTGTTTGTACTAAATAAACTTAAGCTAACAGGATATGTTACGTCTATGGAACTTAATGAAAAGAATAAAGATACAATAAAGCAGTCTCTTCTAAAGTCCTCTGAACGTGTCAAAAAGAGAAATAGCTAAGAACAATTAAAAATGCTTAGTTAGACAAAGATGATAAAGAAAAAACTCACAATATATTCCTGGAGAGTTTTGATATATTTATATGAACTTTTTATTATGGTTTTATTCTTTTGTTTACATATTTGTCGTTTCCTCGAATTCGATTCTTTAAAATATGATAACTTTAAACTCATTTAAGCTTTTGATCTGATTTTTTTTTTTGATTTTTCACATAAATAAAAATGATCCAGATAAAAGAAGGATAGTTAAAACAAAATAAAGAAAGTTTTTTATAAAACTTCTTTATGAGAAAAATTGTTGGACATTCGTCCAGCAATTTTTCTATGTTTGTTTAAAATGTTGCAACCTTTATTATACTATAAATAATAAAAAATGCTTCACTTATCCGGATTAATATACCTCATTAGTATATACACCAATTTTCAGCTTGATATGATAAATATTTTGATTGCTAGCTTATCACAAAAATTGGTAGTTTTTATTCATTTTTTAAATAACTGGGTAATTGAGACTTGTTTTTAAGTTGATTTTTGTAAATAGCATCAGCTTAAAGGGACTACCAAGTCCCGAGACATGTTGTGTTCATATTAAAGAGAATGTTAAAAAAAACGTTTAAGCAAGTTTTTTTTTAATTAAAACTAATTGATAAATGTGTACCAAAAAAAACAAATCTTGTTGTTTAAGTTGAAGCTCGTTTTCTCCATTTTCTCTGGTATTTTGAGTATATAAAATAAACAGGATTTTCCAGGCGCATTATACAGACTTGATAATTTATTCAAGCGCGTTTAATTCATAGGAGTTTTAGTGCATGACTTCATAGTTTTTTTTTTTTGTTTAAAACACTGATTGTTATTTTTTACATACAATTTCCAAATCATATTCATTTTTATTGTATTTTAAAGTGTTTGTAAAACAAAATTAAATTAAAAACAAAATAAAATTAAAAACAAAAATAAAATAAAAAACAAAATAGTATTTTATTTGCGCAACTTTTTTAAAATAATCTTCTAGACCACGTGTATTTTGATTTCTTTCATTATAAGTTTTTCTTTCAAAATGTTAGATAAAATAATTTTTAACCTAAATAATAATGCACTTTTATTAATTTACTTTGTAAATATTAAAAAAAAAATATTAATGCATTTTTTCTCTGATTTTCAAAAATGTATTTTTTGGTATTAAGGTGATCTTATTTCATTATTTATATTTCCATTATTATAACATCCAATATATATTATGGCGGGGGCTTAAAAATTTTTTAAGAATATATTATCAAATGAACTTTTACTTTAATATTATGGCTCGTTCTCGGAGCCACATCTGTAAAGCCGTAAGTCTTTTAAACTATTATCATTTGTTAACAAAAATAAATGTTTTACAATATATATTTTTTAAATTGTCAAAATTTTGAAAGTTAATTACAAATTATATATTTTATTAGTATATTCTTAATTTTTATATCTTTTCTTAGTGCTTGGTTTAATTAATTGTTCGTTAGATTTGTAAAAAACTAACGAACAATTAATAAAATAAACTTTTAATAAAATAAGTAACTATAGTTAGCTATTTTAGTAAAATTTAATAGTAAAATTTTTAAAGAATTTCTAGAATGTTTTCAATGACGTCATGCACTAAAACTCCTATGAATTAAACGCGCTTGAATAAATTATCAAGTCTGTATAATGCGCCTGGAAAATCGCGTTTATTTTACATACTCAAAATACTGCAGAAAATGGAGAAGACGAGCTTCGACTAATACAACAAGATTTGTTTTTCTTGGTGCACATTTATCAATCAGTTTTAATCAAAAAAAATTTGCTCAAACGTTTTCTTTTAACATTCTCTTTGATATGAACACAACATGTCTCGGGACTTGGTAGTCCCTTAAAGTTGAAAAAAAATTTTTTTTTAATCATTAGAAAAAAGTTTAGTTACACATTTTTTTAATCATTAAAAAAAATAATGCAACTAAAAAAGATTTTTATTTAAAAAAAATTAGCGAGTAACATATTGAATAATTACATTAATTTATCTACTTTTATTTATTAAAAATTTATTATTTTATTAACGATTTTGTTGTGAAAACAAAGATTATTTTTCCAAACAACATTTATTAAAAAATAATCGCTGCGATTTAACTTGTCATATAAAAAAAAAAGTTTAACTCACATTTTGTGCAAATTTTTAATGCAGCCATTTATTTAAAACTTAATTTTGAGTAATAAAAAAATGTTTTGGAAGGAAAACCGAAAAAATAATTGCGATAAAAATGAGCTTATTTTCTTTTAAGAATTAAATACAAATATTGAAAATATTTATTAATATTAAAAAAAAAAAAAAAAAATGGC